GATCACAGACCATTTGATCTTAGACTTTTTACCTATGTGTTGTCTCCAACAGGTAATAAATGGAGAATGTACAGTATCTATTCGGGCTAGAGAATCCCAAATCAATTGTCATAAGAAGTATATTAACCTGCTATTCCAATGGGATACAATGAAGACTTCTTTAGGATTTTATTAGGTCTTCAACTTGAGGGAAAATTATTGTATAGAGTTTGAGCAAACCTGCATGTCACACAGAAAAATAAATGGCTTTGAACTTATAGATCATACATTGCAAAATGAAAGAATGTCTGTTCTTCAGCACACAATGCTATTTTGAACTTGGTAAACCATTCCTCAAATGCTTTGCTCAAAATTAGGCATCAACCATTTTGTCAGGTAAATATTAAATAAAAAATAGGTTTGTAGAATACTACAGCTTCCTATATACTGTAGCTTTACAGTGCCAACCTCATCTAGGGTCCAGGAAGAATATTTCCAGGATATTGCTTTTTCCCAGTTGTTGCTTAGTCAGAAGGTTTTCTAGATTGAGATGAAAAAGGAGATTATTGAAGCCATATGATAACTGGATTTACTTTGCTATCCCTGGATGTACACCAGAGGTACTTCCAACACATTGTGCCACAATAATATAGCACACATTCCCATATTCCTTTTATGAAGCAACGGTTACATTCTGGCCTAAAACAGGTAAGGGTCCTTTGGAATGGGGGTCAGCTACAATATTGGCCAAAGTTATCCTATGCCTCATTTATGAAGGCAGGGCAGGATTTATGCCTGGCAAATCAACATTACTTACAATAAAATTACATTTGCAAAATATGGGATGGGGGCATGGTTCTGGTGCAGACACGCAGGCTTTGTCTACATGGCTGATCAGAAGAACAGCAATCCTTTCTAATCACATGGATTCGCTTTCTGGATCTCTACTTTGATACGTCACACCCTGTCTTTCAGAGGATCTGGTTAAGCGGTCACTGCTTGAGCGGCACCACAGTCTTTGATTACAAGGTCACAATGTGACAATAAAAGTTAACTTTGAGGAAAAAGTTTTGTAGTGAATTCAGCTCTCCTGAGGTCAATATGCTTGTTAGAAAATTTTTATATAGTCCTACAGAACAGACAGCGTGCAGTTCACATGTGCTTTTCTGCTGCACGAGAGCAAGGAAACAGGAAACTTTATTCAGAGAAATGAGATAGAGCATACCATAGATGCAGCTACAAACTTGTAAACACTGCCAACTACTGGTTGAAGAATATATCTCTACTGAAAACTAATGCAATTGTTGCACAAAATGCTTGAACACTGTAATCCAACACCCCCCCCCCCCCCCCCCCCCCCACTCAACAACTATTCCTTATATTAGTCCCATTTTTGATCTCAGTTGTATAAATCTGTTTCTTGTAAGCAGTTTTGTCAAAGCATCTACAATCATGTTATTAGTTTCATAATGCATAAGTACAATTACATTTTATTCATTTAGATCATGAATGTAATGATGTCTGACTTCAATATTCTTTGTTCTTGCATTGATCTCTCATTTGTGGCAAGTCTGAAACTTCCTTGATTGTCCTCATATAAGATTGTAGGCTGGGACATTGGCTCCCCAAGATCTTCAAGCAATTAACGTAACCACACAGCTTCTTGACTGGTATAGGCAGCAGCAATGTATTCTGCCTCTGTAGAAGACAAAGTTACTGAGATCTGCTTCTTGCTGGACCGAGCTATAGGACTGTTTCCTAATTTGAACCAGTAACCACTTATGGATTTGCGACTGCTTAGGTCACCTTCCCATTAGCTGTGTGATTTGTTTTCTGTTTTACTCAGGTCAAGGTGAATAAAGAAATTTCGTCATTTGTCATGTGACTCATAGCTCCTGAATCAACACACCATACCTGCAAAGATGAGGTGAAACTTTTGGATCGAAAAACATATTAATGATCTGAAGAAAAATCAGTTTATTCCTTCATGCTTTTGGCCTTTTGTAGTTTCATTTGTTTTTAAATTCTAGCTTTCCAGATTCTGCAATATGTTTTTAAATGGACTTGTTTCTTGCACACAAAGCATTTACATGCTTCTTGTTGCATGTTACTGTTTTTATTCCTATTTTACGTCTTCAAAGCAGACTCTGTGTCAGAAGCACTGTAACTATTAATGCTTTCAGCTTTACTCCCATATTCATCCACAAGCTTGTCCTTAACGTATGCCAATGTCAGTTCATCATCTGGACGTGCATCAAGAACAGTAACAAGTGGTTCATAACTTTCTGGTAAATCACTGTGTAAGAGTGCTGCGACATTAAAGTCTTTTATTTCTTCTATATCTCTCGTACAAGCGTTCAACCATTTCCAGGGTTTACCTTTTGTAATCCTGCATAACCTGGCCTTTCATCAGCTTGGTTTGATATAGCTTTCTAATAAAAAATAGTTTATTGTTGAGATTAGTTCTTTCATGCACCTTTTGTAATACTTTCCACAATTCTTTAGCAGTTTTACACTTACATACAGTATATGTATAATTTGATCATTTTCTTTGCTAAGAGAGAGTGCTCTATGCTTTCTGAGCTTTCTCTATCCACTCATCTGAAGGGAGTTCTGGCCTGACTTCATTTATACATTTCCACATATCTTCTCTTATTAGCAGCATATTCATCTTGAATTTCCAAGACTGGTAGTTCTGGTTTGTCAGATTTACAAATGAAAGCTTTGTTGTAGTTGTATTACTGACCATTTTCTGTTGTAGCCGCTTATGACTGGGTTCATAATCTGTCAGAAATTCTGTACACAGTCACACAAGCTTTTCTGCTTCACTGCAACAAGGAAACAGGGCATTTTGTTCAGAGAAAAGACATAGAGCAGGGGTCTCCAAACTTTCTGAACAAAGGGCCAGTTTACTGTCCTTCAGACCTTAGGGGGGGCAATCTTTGGCTATTGGGAGTAGAAAAGGTTCTGATATCATTGGGAATAGACAATGCCCCATCTTTGGGAGGAATAGTACCCCAATGTTGGCATCAGTGGGAGGAATAGTGTCCCAATGTTGGCATCAGTGGGAGGAATAGTGCTCCAATGTTGGCATCAGTGGGAGGAATAGTGCCCCAACATTGTTGACATTGGGAAGAATTGTCCCCTATTACTGTTGTCATTGGGAGCGATAATTGATGTAATTGGGATATATTGTGCCACTTCATTGGTGTCAATAGGGGGAATTATGTCCCATTGTTGGTATCAGTGGATGAAATAGTACCCAGGGCTGGATAAAAGCAATCAAAGGGCCGCACCAAGCCCTCAGACCACAGTTCGGAGACCACTGACATAGAGTATACCATAGAACTTATAAACACTGCCATCTACTGGTTGAAGAATATATCTCTACGGAATACTGATGTCGTTGTTGCACAAAATACATGAACACTGCATTCCAACAGTACTCCATTAATCAATAGTATATGCTGTCATCTACATGCTGTCAACACATGTCAGAAATGTCCATTATTTTCAGCAGGTGAGTATTAGACCCCTTGCACATGAGCGTCATAATTTACTGATGTTTACTCAGGAACTTGTGATGCCCGTGTGCAAGGGGCCACACATCACGGGCGCTATAACAAAAAAAAATAGGCCACCAATTTTGAGAAAAAAGCAATATTTTTTACTTTTTGCTATTAAACGTGTCCACTTAAAAAGTTTACAAAATCAAATTTCATCATAAATTTAGGCCAAAATGTAATCTTCTACATATCGTTGCTAAAAAAAATCCCAATACGTGTAAATTAATTGGTTTACTTGAAAGTTATAGCGTCTACAAATGGCGGTACATATACTGTAATTTTTTTTTCAATTTTTATATTAGTAATGGCGCTGATCAGCGACTTATAGCGGGACAGTGGCAGGCATTCTGACACTGGGGGGGAACTGACTAACTATCACTGACATCCCCAGTGACACTAATACTGTGATCAGTGCTAATAAAAAGCACTGACACTGTATAAATGACACTGGGCAGGAAGGGGTTAACATCTGGGGGCAATAAAAAGGGTTAAGTGTGTGCTGTGTTTGTGCTTTACACTGTAAGCACACTGCTTTGTATGGCTCTGCTATGCAGAGCCATACAAAGCAGTGTGCAGGAGCTGACAAGGGAGAGATCTGTATTGTTTACATATAGATCTCTCCCCCCGTCCCTGATACACGGTGATCACTGGGTGCTGATGGGGAATCACCGGCTGGGACCCGACGATCGACAGGTGAGAACGCTAATGGCGGCACAGGTAGGGCAAAATCTTGTATATATATATGATTTTGCACACTCTGTCGCCCTGTAACAATATTTCTGCTATAGGGGCAGGCAGGAAAGTAGTTAAAACTTCAAGCTTAAGGTGGTCTCACATGCTAATGTCAAATGCATTTCAGTGTAACAATAGGCATGGTGTACACTGGGAGAAATACAACCTTATGTTAATATCTGGTGATATTATTCATGGATTATAAGTGGTACAAACATTTATATATTTAGGAAATTTACTCTTTGAATTTTTTTTTAAAATATCATTAACCCCTGATGGAATATACAAAAACTACATTTAGGTTCTGTTGTAAACTGCCCACCTCCTCAGGTGGCTGATCAACAAACCTAGAGCGGGGCCCCTTTATATAGGGCACCCCCAGCTTTCCAGAACATTCCATGGCCATTTGACAGGTTTTCAGGTTCCCTAAATGTGACAGTTACATAACTACCCATGAAGCTTAAATCACTTATCAGCTACAAACAGCTTAGCTATTGTAGCTCAAGCCGTATTTGACAAAACATCAATTTTTAAATACCTGCTCCCAAATAGACAGGGTGGCTGCAAGCCATTCTGTTTACCCCCACGCGGCCTTTTTATGCATGTCTGGAGACCAACATTAACAAAAGTACTGCTACAGGGCGTCACAGGTGCGCAAAATCACGTATATATGCGTGATTTTGCATCTCCGGGTAGGGGAACACTCGCGGCTGCAGCTGTCAATCACTGGGTCCCGGACAGTGATTACAAACAGGCCCCCGGTGATTGCTGAGCATCTCTGGGGGGGGGGGGGGGGGAGAAAACAGTTCTCTCCCCTGTCAGCTTACAATGAAGCACAAACACACAGCACACAGTAAAACACACACAGCACACAGTTAACCCTTTGATCGCGCCACATGTTAACCCCTTCCTGCCCAGTGCCATTAGTACAGTGTCAGTGCTTTTTATTAGCACTGGTCACTGTATTGGTGTCACTGGGGATGTCAGTGACACCAAGTCAGTTACCCCAGTGTCAGGAAGCCCACTGAAGTCCTGAAGTCCCGCTATAATTCGCTGATCGCCGCCATTACTAGTAAAAAATAAATCCCAGTATATATACTATCATTTGTAAATGCTATAAATTTCACATAAACCAATTAACTTACACCTATTGGGATTTTGTTTAGAAAGGACATGTAGCAGAATACATTTTGGCCTAAATTTATGACAACATTTGATTTTTTGATTTTTTTTTACTGGACATGTTTAAAAAGTAAAAAATACTGATTTTTTCTTAAAATTGTCAGACTTTTTTTTTATAGTGCAAAAAATAAAAAACACACAGGTGATCAAATACCACCAAAAGAACGTTCTATTCGTGGGGAAAAAAAGGCCATCAATTAATTTGGGTACAGCGTTGCATGACTGTGCAATTTTCAGTTGAAGTAATGCAGCACTGCAATGTAAAAAATGGCCTACTCAGGAAGGGGGGTAAATCCTCAGGAGGGCAAGTGGTTAAATATGTCTAAACCAATATCGGAAAGATGAATGCCATTTTTCCAATAAAGGCCAGGGATACCACCCTCCAAGTTGACATGTCGAAAGGAGAACAGTCTGTTAACCCATTTTCTATTTTTTTCAAAAAACTTAAAAGTGAACAAATTTAAACAAATCAGGTGTGGGATGATTCTGGAAAATATGATGACAGAACCAGGCGATAAGGCTTCAAAATGTTGGATACATGTTTTAAAAATTAAATCTAATGTTTTTGGTCATCCAATATCATTCCCACCTAGGTGAATGGTTCAAATGTCTGGATACGGCCATCCATAAGCCAGGATCCAGGTCGAGAAGCTGCTCTTTTCTGCACCCAATTAATAAAGGTCTGATTATCTAGATGGTATATAGCTTACCTAAATCAATTCATAGCAAATAGTTAGTCTAATATATGATTTGTAAGCATTGGACTTCCATCTACTTAATTTTCTAATTGCATCAATATCTAAGCCTATTCTAGCTGCCTCAGTAGCAGCCCCAATCCCGCAGAAATGTGAAAAGATAACAACACAGCACACAGTTAACCCTTTGATCGCCCCACATGTTAAACCCTTCATGCCCAGTGCCATTAGTACAGTGTCAGTGCTTTTTATTAGCACTGATCACTGTGTTGGTGTCATTGGGGATGCCAGTGACACCAAGTAAGTTCCTCCCAGTGTCAGAATGCCTGCCGCAATCCTGCTATAAAAAAAAGCCCAGTATATACACCTCTATTTGTAAACGCTATAACTTTCGCATAAACCAATTAATTTACACGTATTGGGATTTTTTTTTAGCAAAGACATGTAGCAGAATACATTTTGGCCTAAATTTATGACGAAATTTGATTTTAAAATTTTTTGTATTGGATATGTTTAATAACAAAAAGTCAAAAACATAGTCTTTTTCTCAAAATAATCTGGCTTTTTTTTATAGCGCAAAAAAATAAAAACCGCACAGGCGATCAAATACCACCAAAAGAAAGCGCTATTCGTGGGAAAAAAAAGTGCATCCATCAGTGTACCTGTCAGTGCATTCATCAGTGCAGCCCATCAGTGTACCTGTCATCACAGCCATCAGTGCACCCTAATCAATGTACTTGTCACAGAGTCGACACTACTGCCGCCCATCAGCAATATACCCATCACAGCCATCCATTAGCAGTTTACCCCTCATACAGCCACAATCACCAGAGCCGCTATGTCCACAAAATTTTTTTACTAGTGAGGAGGCGCTCAAAATCCTGAGCATGTTGAATGAGAGCAGCAGGGAGATCTCACCATCCGATTCCAATTCTGAATACGAGCCAGTAGAAATTAGTGGGTCAGTGACCGAATCAGTCCCTCCTAAAAGGATACAAATTGCATGCCTACTGGTCCACCAACCCCATCCATCATATGCCCATCTATTCTGCTGTAATGTCCCAGTCACACTATGACCTGTTCATGCGATTCCTGCATTTCAATGTCAACTCATAGTGCCTTCCCAGAGATCATCCCAACTATGACAAGTTATACAAAATCTGCCCCCTAATAAATTCTTTTGCTAAGAGATTTGTGGAACTTTATGTCCCTGAGCAACAAATTTGTGTGGATGAATCCCTTGTCCACTTCACTTACCAGCTGGGATTCAAGCAATACATTCCCAGTAAAAGGACGAGGTATGGATTGAAGCTGAACAAGCTCTGTGAAAGATCTACAGGATATGTGCATGCATTCCGTGCGTATGAAGGCAAAGACTCCCAGCTCCAACCCCCTGAGTGCTCAACCTACATCGGCACATGTGGCAAAATTGTCTGGGACCTGGCATTCCCAATGTTCCAAAAAGGTTGTCATATCTACCTTGATAACTATTAAACTAGTCTGCCCCTTTTCCGGCATCTTTACCATGAGAAAAACCTTAGCCTGCGGTACCACCCAAAAAAATAGAAAGGGCTGCCTGCAAAGTTTAGTAACCAGAAAGCTACAGAGGGGAGAAATGAGGAAGTGTTGGGCATGAAGTGTAGGGACAAGAGAGATGTTTACATCCTGTCCACTATCCACAATGACACCTCGGTGGAAATTCATGGAAGACACGGTCCCATCCAAAAACCTGAATGTATCCATGATTATAATCAGTTCATGGGGGGAAGTGGATTTAAATGACCAGGTGCTACAGCTATATTTGTCAACAAGAAAGTCCCTCTTCTGGTACAAAAAAGCTGAAATGTATTTTTTCCATTAGGCCATTTACAATGTGTTTGTCATCTATCAAAGGTCAACAGAAAGACCCAGACCCACCACCTTCCTCAAATATATACAAGAAATTATCACTGCCCTGATCTACCAGCAAGGATCCCCCCCAGAAAACATTGGCTCTGATTGTGTGAGCAGACTTCACGAGCGTCATTTTCCAGAAAATATTCCACCCACAGAATCATTAAGAAGACATAAAAAAAATGTTGAGTATGCGACAGAAGAGGAATTAGGAAAGACACCAGTGTCCATTGCCGCCAACGTCCCTCCCAACCAGGCCTATGCATCGGAGACTGCTTCTGACGTTATCACACATCACTAAAATATTAGTTCCCCTTATTTTTAACAGCCTGCCATTTCCCAGTTTCTAAAATTTGTGCTGATCATTTTCCTGCTGCCTTGATTGACCATGCCTTTGCCTTCCATGTTAACTGGCCCTGGCCTGTTTACCGACAATGTATCTGCCTGCCGTCTGGATTGTTTCTAAACCGCTTTTCTGCCTTCCACCTGAACTGACCCTGGCCTGTTTACCGACAATGCTTTTGCCTGCCGTCTGGATTGTTTCTAAACCACGTTTCTGCCTTCCACCTGCACTGACCTCGGCCTGTTAATTCGACCATATTTTTTGCCTGCCTCTTGAACTGATCTTTTGCCCTGATACTGTAGTAGTGGGATGCAAGATAATACAGGGGTCTCACATATGTGAGGGGCTTCAGAGTAGAGAAAAACAGTTTTTAGATTTCACCGGGTTTTGTAATTCCCGGATCAGGGTCTGTTAGTCCGGAGGCTTCAAAGAGATTGGGAGGGACGTAGCTTCTACCCCTTTGGCCAGGTCTTACCTGACCAAAGCCCTAAACCTGATGTTCCTTCCTGCTGCCTGGACCAATACTGTGCTGACCATATCTCTGCCTGCTGCCTGTAATGAACCAGGACTTTTTATGGACCATATTCTTGCCTTCTTCCTGAACCAGTACTTTGGCTGTGCTGACCATATTGCTGCCTGTAATGACCCAGGACTTTTTTTTTGGACTATGCTCCTGCCTGCTGCCTGGACTATTCGTTTGGCTATTGCTGACCACCTCTCTGCCTGCTTCCTGGACCACTGCTCTCCTCTGCAGACAACTTATCTACTACAACTACAGGTAATCTTCTGTTTACCCTTTGTTTAGCTAGACTATGAAAAAGTCTCATGCATGTGGTATCACCATACTCAGGAGGAGAAGCAGAATGTACTTTGGGGTGTATTTCTTGCTATATACATGCTGTGTTTTTAGAAATATCTTATAAATAGACAACTCTGTGGAAAAAATTTGTGGAAAAAAATGACACGTTCAAAAGACTCATTATGCCTCATAGAATATACATTGGGGTGTTTTCTTTTCAAAATTGGGTCATTTTATGTGTAATTCCATTGTCCTGATGCTCCAGGGCCTTAAGAAATGTGATAAGTTGTCAGGAAATTTGATGTGTAATTTATGCCCCTAGAACGCCTGATGGTACTACTTGGCCTCTGTATGTTGCCAGGCTGTGTAAAAGTCCCACATATGTATCATCATATTCAGGATAAGTAGCAGAATGTATTTTGGAGTGTAATTCTTGGTATGTACATGCTATGTGTTAGAAAGATTTTATAAATTGACAAATTTGTGTATACAAAAATGTTTTCATATTCTTTCCACATTTTTCAAAAACTTGTGGAAACAAATGATATCTTCAAAATACTCATTATGCCTCATAGAATATATGTTGGGGTGTTTTCTTTCCAAAATGGGGTCATGTTGTGGTTAATTCCATTGTCCTGGTGGTCTAGGTCCTTCATAAATGTGGTAAGTAGTCAGAAAATTAAAAGTGTAATTTATGCCCCTAGAACGCCTGATAGTGCTACTTGGATGTTGGGCCTCTGTATGTGGCCAGGCTGTGTAAACGTCCCACACATGTGGCATTGTCATATTCAGGACAGGTAGCAAAATGTATTTTTTTGGGTGTCATATAGCATATACATGCTATATGTTAGAAATATCTTATAAATTGACAACTTTGTGTAAAAAAAATATGTTTTCATTTTCTTTCCACATTTTTGAAAAACTTGTGGAAAAAAATGACATGTTCAAAAGACTCATTATCCCTCATAGAATATATACGTTGGGGTGTATTCTTTCCAAAATGGGTCTTTTTGTGGGTATTTCTATTGTCCTGGTGTTCCAGGGCCTTAACAAATGTGAGGAAATTAAAAGTTTAATTTATGCCTCTAGAACGCCTGATAGTGCTACTTGGATCTTGGGCCTCTGTATGTGGCCAGGCTGTGAAAAAGTCTCATATATGTGGTATCACCATACTCAGGAAGGAGTATCAGAATGTGTTTTGGGGTGTAATTGAAAGTATGCATATGCCATGTGTGAGAAATAACTCTTGCTCAGTTAAGACATTTTAATATACGACTCCCAGTTGTAGAGCATATTCACTCCCAGGATCCTTCAAGCCCTACATATGTAATTTAGAAATAGGAAATGGCTGGTCTGTAGTTGATTACCTTTCAAAGGGGGTAATATGATTACAAGGACTAAAAGGCCTAATCTGTACTATTTATACACACTTAATAACAGGTTTGGTAGATAGTTAACCCCTGAGTATTGTTAGGCTCAGCCTAGGTCAGGCTGTAAACTGAAGACATCTTCCAGAGAATATATTACACTAATTATGTTATAGAGCAATTAACCTTGAGGAATATTACTAATAACCTCACATCATTTCCAGTATAAAACACTGACTCTCTGGATGCAGTCTATAACCCAGTTTTCTATTTACATATTTGATTTTGTGAGCCAGTAGAGCGTATCTCTCTTAGGAATTGGAGCTCCTGCTCCCCTGGCCCCAATCCGCTGCCATCTGGGCAGCAGCGGACCCTAACGGGGGCCCCACGATCCTTCGGTCCCTGCTTATCAGCCAGGTAAGGCCACTGGACCTTTTCCCCGGACCTCCGGGACTTGCGGCCTACCCGGCACCCGAAGCCGCGGCCTCGATTTCTGGCGCGGCCGACCCGGATCGCCGGGCATCAGCCAAGGCTGCCGCTGCTCTGTTCCCCGGTCCCCGCCGATCAGCCAGCCTCCCCAGGGCCCCCCTCACTGGCCCTGGGTCCATCCCGACCACCGGGTACCAGCTCGCCCGGAGCAGCCACGTGCTCGTCAGCTCCGGCGCCCCCGCGCCCGATCCGCTGCCATCCGGGCCCCTGAGCCTGCTGCCGATGTCCCCACCAACACCCTGAAGGGGACACAGACACTCCGTCCCTCCAGCGGAGCTCCGGCGGTCCGAAGCGGCTTGAGGCCTACCACGGCACCCGAAGCCGCGGTGTTTTCCTGCCGGCCGTGGCTGGAATCGCAGCGGGACGCCTCCGCTCCTCCGGGGAAGCTACCACCACCACCAACGGTCCTCCTAACATAGGAGGGATCCACCTCCACCCCGACGCTCCAGGACATCAGGTACTCCACCAGGGGCACCCACTACCCATCAGGGAGCCCAACCACGATCCCCACCCACCACCCACCGGAAACCCTAACCACCAGGGACCCCTAACCACTATCCCTCCAGCGATCGCTACTAACCCACCAGGGATAGCACGGCCACCATCCCACCAGGGATCCCCTGCCCTCCACCCCACCTGGGACTACCAGCCACCTCCCACTGCGTTTCGGACACTGCTTCGCCATCCCTGACCAGCACCCCCTCACCCACCCCGACCCTTCCTGCACCCCGCTCACCCCAACATGCCGCCCGCGCTCCTCCTCCTTGTCCTCCTCTCCTCCATCCCTAAAACCGCCTTCCTCTACCCACCCACCCCCCCCCGCTAAGCAGCTCTATATCGCCCCCTCACTTCTCCCCTCTCCCCACTATGGCACCCACCACCTCCTCCTGCTACTCCACTTCCCCGCTGACCCACTTGCCACCACTTTCAGACCCAAGCGCTCCTACACCTCCCGCTCCCACGCCACCTTCCTCACCCTCCTCCTTCTCATATCAGCTGGGGACATCTCCCCAAACCCTGGCCCCTCACCACCTCACACCCCCCCTAGAGCCCCCCCTGCTCACGCCAGCCGACGCGACCCCCTCAACCTCATACATGTACCCCTCCTCCCCATATCTATCCCCCCTCTCTCGGTTGCACTCCTGAATGCCCGTTCGGTTTGCAATAAGCTTACCGCCATCCATGACCTCTTCATCTCCCGCTCCCTCAACCTCCTAGCCATCACCGAAACCTGGGTACAGGCCACTGACTCCACTTCCCCTGCGGCACTCACCCATGGAGGTCTCATCTGGACCCATTCACCAAGACTGAGCGATCGCAGAGGTGGTGGTGTCGGCTTGCTCCTGTCACCGCTTAGCACCTTCCAGGTCCTCCCTAACCCACCCTCTCTTTCCTTCCCCTCCTTTGAGGCGCACTGCATCCGACTCTTCTCACCCACCCCCCTAAGGATCGCAGTGATCTACAGGCCTCCCGGATCCATAGCCCGCTTCCTGGATGACTTCGCCGCCTGGCTCCCCTTCTTCCTCTCCTCTGAGCTACCGACCATCATCCTCGGGGACTTCAACATCCCCATCAACGACAACACCCCGGCTACTTCCCAATTCCTCCACCTAACCTCCTCTTTCGCGCTCACACAGCACACTCAATCCTCCACCCACCTCGGAGGGAACACCCTGGACCTTGTCTTTTCCCACCTCTGTACCCTCAACCAGTTCTCGCACACCCCCTTCCCTCTCTCCGACCACCACCTCATCACCTTCTCCATCTCCCCTTCCCCCAACTCCCCCCCCAAAAACGCCAAACCATCACCAGCCGCAACCTCCGCAACCTGAACCCGGCCCCCCTCCACTCTGCCGCCGACCGCCTACACGACAGCATCCTCCCACTGTCATGTCCTGACATAGCCACCACCTTGTACAATGACTCACTGTCAGCTGCCCTAGACTCTCTGGCACCCCTAACCACACGCATCATCAAACCCAGACCGCTTCAACCGTGGCAGACCGACAGCACTAAACGCCTCAAACGTCGCAGTCGCGCACTGGAGAGACTGTGGCGCAAAACCAGGTCCCCTCATACTTTCTCCCTCTACAAATCTGCATTTCTTATTTACACCTCCTCCCTCCACGCCGCCAAGCAGGCCTACTTTGTTAACCTAATAAACACCCTCTCCTCCTGCCCCCGCCGACTCTTCTCCACCTTCAACTCCCTGCTCTCCCCCCCCCCCCTCCTCCAATAACCCATTTCCACAACAAGACCCGCTATCCGTCTCGTCAACTTGCAATCTACCTCCCCACCTAGCCTCCTCGCCCCCGTCACCCCTTCATCTCCCCCCTCCTCTGCCCTCACAACCGCACTGCCCCCCTCCTCTCCCAATCCCCGCCCACCAAACCCCCCTCCACTGCACTCCCCCAGCCCTGTCACTACTGAGGAAGTCGCCAAAGTCCTCTCAAAAGCCCGCCTCACTACCTGCCCCCTGGACCCTATCCCCTCTCAACTCCTCCGGTCACCCCCCTCTTCCCTCATCCGCTCCCTCACCCACATCTTCAATCTCTCCCTCTCTACTGGCGTATTCCCCTCCCCCCTAAAGCACGCGCATATCACCCCCATCCTCAAAAAGCCCTCCCTGGATCCCGCGGACCCCAACAACCTCAGACCCATCTCCCTGCTGCCACTCACCTCCAAGCTCCTTGAACGCTTAGTCTACGATCGCCTAAGCTCCCACCTTACAGACAATAACCTCCTTGACCCTCTACAGTCCGGCTTCCGTCCCCTACACTCCACTGAAACTGCCCTCCTCAAAATCACTAACGACCTACTCAACGCCAAAGCCAAGGGCGACTACTCTGTCCTCCTTCTCCTGGACCTCTCTGCGGCCTTCGACACAGTTGACCACCCCCTCCTCCTTAATAAACTACTCTCCCCTTGGCATCGGAGATACTGCTCTCTCTTGGTTCTCATCCTACCTATCCCGACGCTCCTTCAGTGTCACCTACAATGGTGCCACCTCCCCCCCTCCCTCCCCCTCTCTGTTGGGGTCCCCCAAGGCTCTGTCCTTGGACCCCTTCTCTTCTCCATCTACACCTCCTCCCTGGGCAAACTCATACAATCTCACGGCTTCAACTATCACCTCTATGCTGACGACACCCAAATCTACCTCTCCACCCCTCACCTCACCCCCACTATCTCCGCCCGCATCACTCACCTCCTAAATGACATCTCAGACTGGATGTCGCTACACTTCCTCAAGCTCAACCTCTCCAAAACCGAGCTTCTCGTCTTTCCCCCTGCCAACACCCCCCCCCCCCCCCCCCATCCTATCCATCATCACCAACAACTCCACTATCACTTCCCGCCCCGCAAGCCAAAGTCCTTGGCGTCATTCTTGACGCGAACCTCTCCCTCCAACCGCATGTCAAATCACTCACAAACACATGCAGGCTCCATCTTCGCAACATTGCCAAGATACGCTCCTTCCTCACCCCAGACACCACCAAACTTCTAGTACACTCCCTCATCATCTCACGCCTTGACTACTGCAACTCCCTCACTCCCTCACTGGCCTACCCAAGTGCAGGCTCTCCCCGCTCCAGACCATCCTGAACTCAGCTGCCAGACTCATCCACCTCACCACCCCGCTCCACCTCTGCCACCCCCCTCTGCCTCTCCCTCCACTGGCTCCCGATTGCCCAACGCATCAAATTTAAACTCCTAACCCTGACCTACAAAGCCGTTCACAACACTGCCCCTGACTACCTCACCAACCTTATCACCAAGTACCACCCTACCCGTACCCTTCGCTCCTCACAGGACCTCCTTCTATCCTGCTCCCTGGTCTCCTCCTCCCATGCACGACTGCAGGACTTCTCCAGGTCCTCCCCCATCCTCTGGAACTCACTGCCCCAATCCATCAGACTGTCGCCTTCCCTATTCACATTCAGGCGCCTCAAAAAACCCATCTCTTCAGGGAAGCCTACCCCACCCTCACCTAACGGCCATCCTCCCTCATTCCTCCCACCACTTCATCCCCCTCAGCCACTTCCTACTGTACCTTTTACCCCCCCTCCCTCCTAGATTGTAAGCTCGTAAGAGTAGGGCCCTCTTACCCCTCGTACATTGTTTGTTGTTGTTGTACTGTGCCATGTATTGTCCCCCCTATTGTACAGCGCTGAGCAAACCCTTTGGCGCTATATAAACTCGTAGTAATAATAATAATAATAATAATAATAATAAGCACATCAAAAAATTAGAAGCCATAACCTAGCTTCACTCTTACTGCTCCTGGTAATTAGTAATGAGCTCTTGGTTTGGTCTGAACCTATCTTGGTTGTTCAGAGGTTCGGAGAATGGCCAACCTATTGTTCAGCTGAGCCGAACCTCAAACTGCAGCAGGAAGTGATACATTAAGCAGCTCTATTACTACTTCTGTTAAATGCGACAGCTTAACAGTCAGATTGGTTGTTAGGGAGCCAGGTGGCTTCCAGCATCTTAGCCATTTGCTCTCTGGAAGATTTACCCCCTTTCCTGACCAGGCCATTTTTTGCTATTCTGTGCTGCTCTATTTCAACTTGTAATGCAACTCTGTACACAAATGAAATGTATGACTTTTTTCACACAAATAGAGCTTTCTTTTGGTGTTATTTGATCACCACTGGGATTTTTATTTTTTTGTGGTATAAATGAAAAAAGATGGAAAATGTAGAAAAAAAACAACATTTTCTAATTTCTATTATGAAAAATATTCAACAAACTCAAATTTAGTCATATACAGGGGCGGACTGACCATTTGGAAACTCGGGCACTGCCCGAGGGCCAGGGGTCAGTAGGGGGCCCCATGATATGCCCCTGGTACCTTTTTCATAGGCTTTTTTGAGTTTGGGCAAGGACACAGGGGCCTCATGATCCCCTATTGCCCGGGGGCCCCATAAGTTGTCAGTTCGCCCCTGGTCATACAATTAGGCCAAAATGTATTCTGTTACAAGTCTCAATACGTACAGTATATATTTATTGGTCTGCGTGAAAGTTCTAGCGTCTACAAACTATGGTCTGGAATTTACGCAGCTTTTACTTTTTGACTGCGTATCACATTTCTTACGGATAGTACAAAGATCCCCCCGCCCCCCACCCAAATGACCCCTTTTTGGAAAATATACATTCCAAGGAATTTTCTGAGAGGCATGTTGAGTCCATGGAAGATTTTAAATTTTGCCAAAAATGTTTGGACAAAACTATTTTTTTTTTACACAAAGTTGCCACTTAAATGATATATTGCTCACAAATGCCATGGGTACTGTATATGTGGATTAACACCTCAAAACAAATTCTGATACTTCTCCCAAGTATGGGATACCACATGTGAGAGACTTTTTGGCAGCCTAGCCACATGCAAGCAGGGGATAAGGAGGGGGTGGGGGTTATCACTTTTATTGTTATCACAGGGAATGTAAATATCCCCTGTGATATCAATACGCAGTGATAGGTACTCTTTTCTGAGAAATCTGGGGTCTAGTAGACTCTAGATCTCTAATCTGCCCTTAAAGCATCTGATCACAATAAGATTGGCATGATCAGATGCTTTTCCAATTTAAAATGGCACTATTTATATCTGGCAAAGTCAAAATGATGAAATGTTCATAGCTTCCAGTTTCTAGACTATAGAGATGATTGGAGCCATTCTCCGATCATCTCTATGGTCAGTCGGAGGAACTGCCAGCTGCATTCTCGCGTTCCCCAGTTGGACAGGAGAGCCTGGGAAAGCCGTGGAAGGTGGTGGGAACTGTCCCTTCCTGCCACTTGCAAAAGCAATCAGTGGCTAATTAATGGCCAGGATTTCTTTTACCTGGAAGTCGACTACCAGCTGAAAAAAAACGATACCAAGATGATGCCTGTAGCTCAAAGTCCAGCAATGTACCAATACGTTGCTGGTCCTTGTTAGGGCATACATGTAACAGCAGAGAACATGCGCATATGATGAATCAAATCTGTGGTCCAATATGACTGCAATTCATTCTTTTTTGTAATTTCCATGTTGAAGGTTAGGCCCCAAAAAATGTAAATTCAGAAATCATGATAGGTTGGGTGGATGGCCATGTACTGTGTGTGTATCAGTTGCTTTGACTCACAATCAATTTATTAATACATTCTGTGAAAACTGGCAGAGGGGCTAAACGCTAGTGCTGGCAGCAAACAGGGCTGATCCTGCTAACACTACATTTTTGGGGACATTATACTAAGGAGGCACTAGTATAGTTCTGTTCGTGATCAATATATTGAGTTGTACAAACACTATACTAGTAATGCCTGTGATCAGCAACCTATAGCGAGTGTGCAGGTAATCTAACGCAAGCTGACCTTGGTTTTCAGGGGTGCTTACATTTCCTGATGCTATCTGATGTCGCTATTGGCATTAATACAGTGATCAGTGAAAATTCTAACACTGTACTAATGGCAATGGCTGGGTGATGGGGTGGTCAAAGGGTTAATAGGGGAAATCAAAGGGATAAATGTGCTAATCTGGATTTCACCCACAACACTCCACAGAAACTGCTCTCCTAAAACTCACAAACAACTTAGTAACAGCTAAAATCAACAGTCACTATTCTGTACTCGTACTCTTACTCTTGGACCTCTCCACTGCCTTTGACACATCCCCTCCTCCTCAAAAAACTCTATTTACCTCTGACTGTACTCTCCATTGGTTCAAATCTTACCTATCTCTATACCTTCACTCACAACTCTGCTTCCTCCTCTCCTACTCCTTTTACCGTCGGGGTCCCCTAGGTCAGCCTTCCCATGGTTTCCAATACCATTTCTATGCTGATGACATACAAATCTATCTCCCTACTCCTCAGCTCACCCCATCAGTTTCCTTACGTATCACTGATTTACTAACAGACATATCTGATTGGATGTCACACCACTTCCTAAAACTCAGTCTATCCAACACTGAGCTCATAATATTTCCTCCCCCATGTGCCTCTTCCCCTCGCTTCGACTACTGCAACTCCCTGCTCATTGGCTTACCTTTACATAGGCTATCCCCCTTCAGTCCATCATGAATGATGCTGCCAGGCTCATCCACCTTACCTATAGTTCAGTGGCTACTACCCCTCTCTGCCAATCCCTCCACTGGCTTCCACTCATCCAACGAATACAATTCAAAATACTAACAACAATTTACAAAGCCATCCACAACTTTGCCCCCAGCTATATCACCAACCTGGTATCAAAATATCAACCAAACCGCTTTTCGATCCCCCCAAGACCTTCCGCTCTCTAGTTCTCGTGTCACCTCCTCCCATGCTCACCTCCAGGACTTCTCCCAAGCTTCCCTCTTCCTATGGACCCTAATCTGTCCAACTATCTCCTAATCTATCCACCTTTAGATGATCCCTGAAAACCCTTCTCTTTAAAGAAGTTTATCCTGCTTCTAACTAGTAAACTCTCTTTTATTTCCTTCATCAGCTCATCCCCCACAGCTATTACCTTTTGTATCACTCAACCCTTCCTCCTAGATTGTAAGCTCTAAAAACCAGGGCACTCTGTTTCCTCTTGTACCAAATTGTATTGTAACTGTAACGTCTAACTTCATTTTGTAAAGTGCTGCGCAAACTGTTGGCGCTATATAAATCCTGTATAATCATAATTATAATCTAACGTACTGTATGTGTAAAATGTAGTGCTCTCTCTTCTTTCCCTGGCATAGGTGGCAGCAGAGAGCGCATGCACACCTGGAAATAAAAAGCGACATAAGGATGCCTCGCTTTGCCCAGAGCATGCACATTGTGGGTGGGTGGTTGACAAGTAGTTAAAAATAAATAAATAAATAAATGTTCTCAATATTTTATTTTATTTATTTACTTTTTTTATTAACTATTTTTAAATGCTTTCATCAGAGTAGTGCAATATTTCCATAGTAACATTGTACTACTCTGGATGGGTGATCAGGGTTTTTTTTTTGTTTTTTTTTACACTGCTTTGCAGGAGCAATAAAGATTATTGCTCTGCAATGCAATGCTTGCTTAGAAAATTGAATGAGTTAAGTTCATGACAGTTCAAAATACAGTGATCTGTGATTGGCTCCAGCTGGTCACATGGTACAGGATGCTGTGATTGGCCCCATATATTATGTGAGAGCTGCTCACCAGGAACAGAAGCAAAGCTGTTATGAATCAGATTGCTTCATAACAGCTTTGCTAGTATTGTGATCATGTGATCACATAGCGATCACATGATCACCGGGTCTTGATTACTGGGATCCACTGTGTCTTGTGGACACTGCAGTCACGAGGGGGAGGCTGCACGTCATTCAAATAACGCTCCCCAGTGTTAGTACAGCAGAGTGACGTAATGGTATGTAGCTACTGTGGGCAAGTGGTAAACTACTAGTGAGTGGTACCTTCTGGCCATTCAGATGTGAATGTAAACATTCTAGACCACTCAATTCTAATGTGAATGTCATGACGGACCTCACATACAAAAGCGAACACATAAAAATGGTGTGGAGTGCCCCATAGGTTCCATACCATATGTTGTCAATAATATCTCCTGGGATACCGCACCTTTGTCATTCACAGCAAGTAAGCAACAGGATCAGACATGTTGGCTGATTGTTTTCTTTCAGAAGGTTGGTGAGCATTTTCATCATGATTGATGAGGATCTGCACTGCTGGACAACGTGATTGACTATGTACAGTGGGGCAAAAAAGTATTTAGTCAGCCACCATTTGTGCAAGTTCTCCCACTTAAAAAGATGAGAGAGGCCTGTAATTGGCATCATAGGTAGACCTCAACTATGAGAGAAAAAATGAGAAAAAAAATCCAGACAATCACATTGGCTGATTTGGAAAGAATTTATTTGCAAATTATGATGGAAAATAAGTATTTGGTCAATATCAAAAGTTCATCTCAATGCTTTGTTATATATCCTTTGTTGGCAATGACAGAGGTCAAACGTTTCCTGTAAGTCTTCACAAGGTTGGCACACACTGTTACTGGTATGTTGGCCAATTCCTCCATGCAGATGTCCTCTAGAGCAGTGATGTTTTGGGGCTGTCGCTGGGCAACACAGACTTTCAACTCCCTCCAAAAGTTTTCTATGGGGTTGAGATCTGGAGACTGGCTAGGCCACTCCAGGACCTTGAAATGCTTCTTACGAAGCCACTCCTTCGTTGCCCGGGCGGTATGTTTGGGATCATTGTCATGTTGGGAGACCCAGCCACGTTTCATTTTCAATGCCCTTGCTGATGGAAGGAGGTTTGCACTCAAAATCTCACGATACATGGCCCCATTCATTCTGTCCTGTACATGGATCAGTCGCCCTGGTCCCTTTGCGGAGAAACAGCCCCAAAGCATGATGTTGCCACCCCCCCCATGCTTCACAGTAGGTATGGTGTTCTTTGGATGCAACTCAGCATTCTCTCTCCTCCAAACACGACGAGTTGTGTTTCTACCAGACATTTCTATTTTGGTTTCATCTGACCATATGACATTCTCCCAATCCTCTTCTCCATCATCCAAATGCTCTCTAGCAAACTTCAGATGGGCCTGGACATATACTGGCTTAAGCAGGGGGACACGTCTAGCACTGCAGGACCTGAGTCCCTGGCGGCGTAGTGTGTTACTGATGGTAGCCTTTGTTACGTTGGTCCCAGCTCTCTGCAGGTCATTCACTAGGTCCCCCCGCGTGTGGTCCTGGGATTTTTGCTCACCGTTCTTGTGATCATCTTGACCCCACGGGGTGAGATCTTGCGTGGAGCCCCAGATCGAGGGAGATTATCAGTGGTCTTGTATGTCTTCCATTTTCTAATTATTGCTCCCACAGTTGATTTGTTCACACCAAGCTGCTTGCCTATTGCAGATTCAGTCTTCCCAGCCTCGTGCAGGTCTACAATTTTATTTCTGGTGTCCTTCGACAGCTCTTCAGTCTTCACCATAGTGGAGTTTG